GTGTACACCGAGGTGAAGTGTTGCAGCGTCCAGGCACCGAGCTGCGCTAGTAAGCAGAGTTACGAGCGGCGTCGGTGCCTAAATGCCAAGGTGAAGTAAAGTGTTGCGGTGCTGAAGTATCGAGGCACGGGACTAGCGAGGGTGTAGCTCAGGGTGACAAGAGTGTAGCTCAGGGTTACTAGCCGGGCAGCGGCGTCGGTGCCTAGGCTCAGGTACGACATTGAACGAGCGGTTCAAGTTTTTGCTCGGTTCGCTTCACGGCGGGTCGATCCAAGAGCAGTGGAGGGAGGGGTTCGCTTCGACTCGACTCCAGGTGTTGTCGATTCACAGCTGCTTCCGTCAAGAATAATAAGATGATCACTGAGGGAAGTAATTGCAGGAGCATATTGGCACCGAAGCGCCGAATGTCGCCAAGTCGGCCCAAGTAGAGGATTCGCGAGTCCTTGTATTTTGGTACAGCCTCGCGTCGATGACTCACGCAGAGATTCCGCGAAGAAACGAGACAGCAGCTCTTGAGCACAAAAGCTGTTGGCTCGTCGTGGGGCCGCAGCGACTCGAGACACGAGGGGGCACAGCTCTGGCAGAATCAGAACAAGATGACCTCCGCGATGCATCGGATTCAGACGCCCGCAGCGAACAGAGGCTGTTGTGCAACGTGTTCGAGGCGGTGTGCCGCACGCGGAAGTCGTCGGACAACACACACAAACAGTTGCCTCCTGCCACCCTTCCGCTGGTGCGGCCCCCAAGCACCCACCCGCGCCGCTTCAGCGCAAAAAACGCATAGTAATGGCGGGCCTGCACCGTCAGCCCCAGCCCCAATACGTTCACTACACCGGCCCCCAGCAGCAGCAGCAGCACCCCGCCCCGCCCACCACCGTCTCGCCGCAGGACACCCAGCGCACCCCCGCACCCCCACCCGCGCCTGCGCCCGCACCGAAGCCCGCTGCCTCCGTCGTGCGCACGACCAATGCGAGCGCAAGCACAAGTAGCAGCGCGCCGCAGCCCGTCGTGGCGAAGGGCAATTGGACGAAGGACCTCGTGCAGCTCGCGAAGACTGCTGAGCTCAAGTGCGTCTCCTGCGGGGGCCAGAGGAAATTAATTCGGTATTGATTTTTTTGCAGGAAGCACGCGCTGACGCTGCAGCTGCACACGGCGCACATCCTCTCCGCGCACGCGTCGCTCGAGCAGAAGAACCGTACCATGCAGGATATTCGCGAGCAGCGGAACAAGTGCGTTTGCGTTTTTTTCTTTTTCTTTTGCTTGCCTGCTTCCCTTCGCGCGTTTTTGCTTCCGAGCCCCTAGTTTTTTCCTTGGCTGCCATTTTATTCGATGCACAACACACGTCCTCCGAGCCTCACAGTACCTCCCACCTTCGGCCTCTTGCTTCATTTTTCTAATACTGACTAACGAACGAACCCCATGTAGACTCGAATCCGAGCGCAAGCGCCTGATCGAATGCCTCAGCCAGGTGCGTCCTCGCTCCCTCCCTCTTTATTCCTGTTTACACCATTTTATCGAACAGGTCAACGAAGACCGCAACCAAGCCGACCTCCTCGAGTCGACGCTCGACCGCGAGCGCCTCGCGCTCCAGTCCAAGATCGCGGCGCTCTCCGCGGGGGAGTACGCCGCGGCCAAGGCGGACGTGGACCGCCTGCGCCGCGAGCTCGGGCAGCCCGCGCTGCCGGGCTTGCAGGAGACGCTGGAGGGCAAGGGGGCGGGGTGAGTGGTTTTGTTCTTTTCTTGATTTCTTTTCTTTTCTTGTGCTTGGACTCTTTCCTTCTTGGATTGGATTCGTTGGGGAGGGCTTCGCTTTTTCTGCTTCATTCTCGTGTTTGGGGGTTTCTTTCTCCTTCTCGCAGAGCGTGTCTGCTTTCGGACGCGCGACTTGCTGGGGACGCGCAGACGCGACTTGCTGTTCGATTCTCCAGCGCGGGTGGAGATTGCCGGGGCTGTTTCCCCATACATTATCTCCTGGGACTCGGACGGGGAGAGTTTTGTAACGAGCGGGATGCATACGTGGCCACAGGCGGCATTCTACACGTCTTGCGCGTACGCGGTTACGATCTCGATTCATTCTTATCTGGCGGGGGCACAGCGCCAACCCACCTTCGACCTCCGAATGGAGTGGGACGCGTCACGCGCGGCATTCCTCCCGTTTTGCCTTACGCGGAACGGTCGCGTGGATGCGCGATTTGGCGGTCTCTCCATGCTCTTTTCCTCAGAATGGAGTGGAGTGGGGCGCGTCACGCGCGGCATTCCTCCCGTTTTGCCTTACGCGGAACGGTCGCGTGGATGCGCGATTTGGTGGTCTCCGTGCTCTTTTTGGTGTAGCGCCATCGCGCCATACCTTGGAGCGGGACGCGTGCCCGTGCATTTTTCCTGCCAGGCGCGGCGCGCCGTGATTTCCGCGATTTCCTTTGCGATGTCGATCTACGTGCGCAGCCGGGGCGACGACGACCATTTGCGCCGGGCCCGCGTGCGCGTGCGCGTGCATTCTTCCTTTCGTCCTGGCAGCTGGGCGGCGCGGCGCGATTTGTGGCGGCACGATTTGATTCGACTTCGATATGACGGGTGTATGTCGTACCTGCGCACCCGGGGTGATGGTTAGGCGGGGCGTGCATTCGCCCTGTCTGGGCCGGGCACGCGTCCTCGCCATTACTCGCGCGCGCGCATTCTTCTGTTCGCACCCGCACGCGCTTCGGGGACTCGGGGTCGTCGGTCATCTGCGCCGCGCCTGGATTCGTATTTCGCGCGCGCGTGCATTCGCCCTGCCCCCGCGCGTCCCCGCTCCCGGCTCTATTCGCGCCTCGCCTCGTGCCAAGTCGCTACGCGCCTCGCCTCGCGCCAAGACGCTAGGCGCGTCTATTGCCCATCCCCGCTCTACTCCCGCGTGCGCCCCCTCTCTGTCTGTCTGTGTGTCAATCAGGCAGCCGCGGCTTCTATCGCCTGCGCCGCGTCTGCGTTCTTATCGCCTCCCGGGCGTTGGACGGGGTGATGCGGTGCGGTGCGGGGACGGGACGGGGATGGGGCGGGGCGGGGCGATAGATCCCTGGGATGTGATGTAATCTGACGGGCTTGGACGGGTCTGCGTTGACGGCTTGGACGGGCCTGCGTCGAGTGGCGTCGAGTCGAGTCGATTTGACTCGACCTGACTCGACTCGCAGGAGGCCGTCGTGGTCCTTCCCTCACGCACGCGCCTGGGATGCTCTAGAGTTTTGGAGCGAGCTGGTTCGTCCATCCGGGAGCTCCCACACGCGCCGAGCGAGGCCTGCCCTTCGTCCTCTGGGTTCCGTATTCCTGTCGCGCCGTAAGATAGAAGATACACGCAGAGGACGAGGCGAGGACAAGCGCGGTCTCTCGCCCAATCGGAACGAAGCTGGAGTCTAGGCCTTCTATAGGCCTTCCCTATCCGGCCGCGCGACGCCGGCCCTCACGTCCCTTCTGGCCTAGCTTGCGCTGCATCTGCATCTTCTGCATTCCTATCTCACCGGTCGACGGTTGACGGCTGCATCTCGTATCATATCTGCGGCGCACGCGCGTTCGGCACTCGGGACGGGCCCGGGCGGTGTCGCCATCTGCATCTTCGTCGCCCGTCTGGCAGGCATCGAGCCGCTTCGCACCCGTACCTGTCGAAGTACAGGCAGATGGCTCAGGTGACCCCGGCCCTAGCGGCCGTGTTCGCATCGTTCGCAGGCTGACGAGCCGGCGCGCTGTGGGTGGCTGCGGGGCCGCGCTATCCCCGCCGGACCGGGTTCTGCGAGGCCTGCCCATGCGGTGCCGGTGCGAGTGCGGGTGCGCGCAGGGGGGGGAAGTGCGTCCCTGGTGTGCCTTATACCCGCTGGATCCTGGGTCCGAGCCAGTGTGGGACGGCGGCCGTGGGTGGCCGTGGGCGTGGGCGTTCTTGAGTTTTCGATATCTAATCGATATCGATTTCTAGGCTCCCCTTTCGCTTCGTTTACGCTTGGTTTTCTGTATGCTTTCTCTTTTTTTTGTATTGCTCTCCTTCCTCCTTCCATCCATTTTCGCATCACACCCATATTCATCGTCTTTTTTTCCCGTGCAGGTACCTTGCGGAGCGGCGCACGGCGGGCCCCGCGCCACACGCCAACACCAACGTCGCGTCCACGTCCGCCGCCGTGCAGGCGCAGACCGCCCCGCCGGCGGAGAAGAAGCGGAAGCGTGCGTTCCTTTTCTTTTCTCCTCTCTTGGATTTTTATTTCATTTCTCGACGACTGATCTCTTTCTTTATCTCAGGTGCGTCCACGGCCGCAAACGGGAACGGGAACGGAAACGGAAACGGGAATGGGAACGGGGCCGGGGCGGAAAACGGGGGCGCGGGGGCGGAAGACGGCGGGCAGGTGAAGCGCCCGCGCGGGCGGCCGCGGGGGAGCCGGAATCGCGGCGGCGGGCCGGCCGGTGAGTAGGGCTGCTTCGTGCTTGCTTGCGTGCTTGCGTTCTCGCGTTCTTGGTTCTGGTTCTCATCTATCTGCCATGCATGGACTGCTGCACATTCGTCCGTTCGCATTGCATTGTGCTGTCTTGTATGTATCTAGATTGAGGCGCGTTTGCGGCCGCGGTGTAGGATATCTTGTTGTGTGGCCGGGGAGTACATTTGTATGAATGTACATGCTATGTAGTGTAGCTGAGTGGTGTGCTTATAACGTCGGGTGCTTCCGAGGAAATGGAGGGGTTCCAGGAGAGATTAGTTAGATCGGGGCGGCGTATTTGGTTGAGGAAACGAAGATGGATTTAGGGACGCTCCCCGCCGTGGCATGCAAGCTGGTTCGATCAAGGTTCGATGGTGTAGTTGGTTAGAATTCCTTTGGTTATTTGCTTGACTCACCTGTGAATCTGCACCAAAGCCAGCCCGCGTTAGGTCCGGCCGTTGGGATTGCGCTGATACGCTCTTCAGATATTTTTGGTCGAGAACTCAAACGAAAACCAATTCCTTTGCTCGCACTATGGGGGTTCAGTACTTCTTCTTCACATGTGCTTTCGTTGGTTCGATGGTGTAGTTGGTTATCACTTCTGTCTAACATGCGGCTTACGTAACGTAACCACGTGCTCCACACAGGCGGTCCTCGGTTCGAACCCGGGTCGAATCACTTTTGCTCCTTGCTTCGTGTCGCGAATGGTTGACTCCTTTTTCCAAAATTTAGACGGTGCGGTCAATCCGGATAGAGTGAGGTGTCAGAGAGCATTAGTTACGCTGCAAAGTGGTGCTCAGGGGAAGTGGAAATTATATGTGTTTCAACACTGATGAATCTTAATTTCTTTTGTCCCCATTGCCCATCCATCAATCTTCCCGCCGATGCATCTCAGCAATGTCCAAGTAATGTCCCCGTATATTTCACACTCTATTATCCTGGCTTGTCAGACTGAAATTTGGGCACTATGATACTGGCTCATCAATAATTACAAAGTATAGGGAAAGAAACAAGGACATATAGTAAATTACCCAACAACTGCACCTCATATTGACTACATTTTAATGGGAGACATGGATTCACTGACATTCTCAGTCTCAAGGAAATTTGGATTGTCCCCAACCAAGATCCCTTCTGGGGCTTTGAGCATGCTGAGTTGAGAAAGTGCTATCTGATCTGCAGCACTAAGCCTGGAATCAATCTGAGCCATGTCCTTTGTTTGCGAGGACCGTTCAAACAGTGGCCGAGCATCTTTCCACAGTCCTATGGCCTTTACCAACTGCCCATTTCTGTGTGCTAGATCACCGAGCCGCAACATGCATCTGGCTCTACTGCGATGGATATCCATAAATGTGAACCCTTCCAGCGCTACGATGAAAAGACTGTGAGCTGTTTCTTCATCTCCATTGGAAAGGAACACATCTCCTAGGAAGTGAAGTGCTTTATGGAGTGCTAATTTTTCTTGGGTTTTCTTTGCATACCCCAAATATAGTACTGTCCAGCAAGAGGCCCAGCCAAAATCATCAACACTCCACCTGCTAGTGTCTGCAAGTCTCTCTAAACAATAGGACACAACCTCTCCTATTTTCCCCAAAGATGAGTTGAAACATTCTTGAAGCCCTACTCTTGCAAGCACAGTATTATGCTCCCTCAGATGGAGGCCTGCCAAAGTTGCATCATAACAAATTATATCCTCGGATTCATTTTTTTCCAGTATTGTTTTTGCCATATTCAGGTTCTGTTGCACATCTTCTTTGATAACACCAATCATTACATCAATCTCAGCAATATTGAGGAGGCAAAAGGCCATGTGATATGGTTCATGTTCAGCAGTGACATTCTGGAGGGCTCGAGTCTGGAGACTTTGGGCCTCGGTATATTCAGATTTGAGCAGATGAACCTCTGTCTCAGAATTTAGGATCTCAAGTTCCATGACACCTCCAGTCAACCCACAGAGATTCAGAAGAGCTCTTCCCCTGTTAAGTAGTGTGATAGTCTGTTTATAGTTTCCCAGCCCCATGAAGCACTGAGCCTCAATCCGCAACAATCGGGCTTCTTCGTAGCAGTTTCCAGACACCTGAGCAAGCATTTGGCCCTGACGAGCATCTGCCTGGGCTGCAGGATAGTTGCCATTCTTCCACTTGATGAATGCAACACTGTGCATTATCCCACACTGTGTGTTGATACTTCCTGAGGATCTTGCCAATGTGAGCGCCTTTTCAAGAAATTTCATAGCCTTAGATGAATCATTTTTCTTGGAATAGTAAAATTGTCCAGCTGCAGTATAAAGCCTTGCTGTAAATATGTTAGAACAGACTCTAATGGGGATTATGGCAGATAACCTACTCTCGAGGACTGGATCATTCAAATTGGCCGCATGGGATATGCCCTGGAGTATCAGAAGGTCTGGAGAGGGTAGGTGATGGTAGGACATTGAATGCAAAGCCTCTACAATGAATTGGACCTCCAATCTGTGGTTAAATGATTGAGGAAGAATTCCTGGAACAAGATCCATCAAGTCAAGCCAACCGTGGCCAGTGACTCGGGAGAATGAGTTTAGAGATATCGTGCACTTTATAGAATCTGCTAGATCCGGACTATCTGGATGTAATCCCCACTGCAGCACTTCCCGCAGGTTCCCCAGGTTGCTATTTATTTGATTTATCTTGGCTGCAATTTTTATCTGGCCACCATATCTCTGGTAGATATTTAACAGTGAATGAAAGTATTTGCGAAGACATTCAATGAGATGGGCTGAAGGTGGATGAAACCGTAGAACATGTTCTCGGATAGGCACCAGAACTTTCAGCCGCTTGTTCTCATCTATGTGAGCTAATGAAGTCCCTAACAAGGTGGCTCTACAACCCAGAATATTCTGGATGGAGAGTTTGCTTTGCACAAGCTCAACATTCCCCAGCCCATCTGGGAGAATCGAGAGGAGACTTAAAAGGTCTTTGGGACCAGGTAGAGAGCTCATACGTGGACTTGAAAGTGACAATGCAATGGATGCATCCAAGCTAGATCTCTTGTCATAGCCAGTGGACAGAAGTGAGGTCTTTTCTGTCTCCCAACGGCTCAAGATACTAGAGCAGCCTTCGTGATCCACCATATGAGCAATAAGATCCACAGCCAATGGCATGTTGTCTGTGAGGCGGAGAAGACGGTCAACATCTTCACTTTCATGATAATCTTCTGCAACATCAACAAAGGTCTGCCAGGCAGCAATGTCATCCAAACGTTTCAAGGGCTGCAGGAAAGGATGAGTCCAGCGGACTTTGGCTGGTCTTTCTGCACCTCGCATGGTGACCTAGGAGCACAACAATCAGCTTTGCTCCAAAAGTAATAAATAGGTACCCACAATTAATGCCAAATGTTTGATGTCTGTAAGTAAGGATAAAAACTCTTCAACCCCACCTCGTGACTCCATCGGCTCCCATGGTGTTTCGAGATTGTCCAGAACCAACAGTGAGGAAGGCTTGCTGGAGAAATACTGAATCACAGGTTTTGTGAGATCCTTGCCTGGTTTCAGTCCTACATGGGCCCCAAGAAGACCGGCCATTCCAATACTTTTATTCACAGAATCACAGGCTACAAAGAACCGATATTCATATTTGATAGCAATGCTTGGGTGGTGCAGAGCTGTCTGTGCAAGACTTGTTTTTCCCATTCCACCTGGTCCAAGAATTGCAATCCGGGGTGATCCTTCTTGGAGCATCTCCACAATATTCTGCAGTTCAGATTCACGACCATGAAAAATCTTTGGCTTGGATGGTAGCATGGAAAGCGAATTTGAGCTTGACAATTCCAGTATCAGTATCATTTTGGTATCAAGTATAGGCTCTACCTGCTTTCCAGCCCATTGGGATTTTGGTAGATCTGTTTACTGATTGGTGAGTTGAGCTCAGCAGCCTGCAATTTACGCACAGAAGATGATCCATCAGAGATTGTCCCATCGGATAGACTTGAAATGATTTCAAGAAGTTCTGTGTGTAGGGTGTCTGTTATCTTCTGCATCTCAGTAATGCTACTGAATAGAATAATATCAGTCTGATGAATGGTAAATTGTTGTGCTTTGCATCAATTTAGAAGATCTTTGCCTTGAACACATCCAGAGCCTGCTGTAATCCCTCATGACAATCCCTGAGCATAGCACTAATCTGATTTTGCTGGAAAAAGTGTTTAATCTTGTTTCCATCCTGCTGCAGTTCAACAAAGGTATGGATTTTGTGAAGTGTCCTATAGAAAGTGTTACAAATGAACAGAAGGTATAAGGACATAGCTATACTCAGTAAATTTCCCGACGTGATCCAAGGTTGTGGGTGGCAGGGAACCTTGTATTTCAGATTTTAGATGCAAGTTGATGATAGCACAGAGTAGTCCATGAATATTTTCCAGGAGTTCAGCACATTCCTCCTTGTTCCTCTTCACTTTCTGAGATGTCCAGTCAGCTCGGTAACACATCAAATATGATTCTTTCACCTGCACCACAGCAATCAAAGAGAGAGTGGTATTTGAAATAGCTTGCACAAAGGGTGTGCCAAAAGTGTCGTTCAGCTCGTTTAAGAGTGGGATAGCAGGAGTCAAACAGGCCACAATATTTTGCAGACGGATTTCGGTGATGGCTGAATGACGGGGCATCTTTGCAATGATGATAGACTGATCAAGGTGAGTGGCTTATATGCTCTTGCTCATCTGTTATCTGCTTTGCATCTGGTTCTCCGATACTCATTCCGGAGGATAAATGCGGGCTAATATTACCGGCTATATGCTATGCCTACTTATGTGATGACGGATGACTACCCCTTCAAAAATATTAGTGCCACAGTAGCATTCACGTTGATCCTCGGGCGCCGGGGATGGACGTACCTCCTCTGTTCAATTTATACTCTTTTCTAAATTAGAAGGGGTGAAATTCTTTCGACGGGTGCGAGGATGATCATGCACTATACACTATAACACTACTTTTCCGTGTACATTTCATAGGCTGTGCTTATGCTCATCCTAAATGTACATGCAGAGCAGCGGGGTAAATTTTTGACATGATTGATTACCTGGATATGGGAGAGCTCACCGCGACAGAAATGTACACACCTGTCCAGGGCACAGGGAAAATTTCAAGATACATCATGATTACCCAGACAAGTTGACACATTGCGGAATTCGGAGGGCATTTCAAAGAGAAAATATTGGGAGAATCTGCACGAGAAGGACGGGTTATGGGAGTCGTAAAAGCTGCGGCCGGAGCTTGAGGCTAGGAGGGTTTAATGAAGGCCGGAATTTAATACGAGGCCGGCGTAATTGATTGCTTGGCGACGCCGCTCATGAAACCCAGATACGGAACGCGAATAGCTGAAAGTGCGTCGTTCTACTCCGAGTCGCACCATAATTTATCAAATCCAGCCCCATCGATACATCTGTGGAGACCGCTCGGGTTTCGATTCAACCACGGTTTAAAGTGGTGCGGTGTCAGAAGAGTCATTGGTCACTCAGGCCCCGGAGATTCACTGGGTATTCACTGGTGTTCGAATCGAGTAAGGAATACTACGTACCGAAGTCACAGAAATTTGAGAGCGAAAGCGAGCAGGCTCAACTGGCAGGGCTAAGCGAATTAAAGCTGACTTCGGACTGATTTGGGACGGACTCGGTGTAATCAAGAAGCCAGCGCGTTTGGTAGCAAG